TCTACTTGAATACTTAATTATTCAATTACTGGCGTATTCAAGTAGCAATAATACGTGTCGTTAAACAATTCACCCACTAAAGTAATTTTAACTAAGATAAGTCATCTACATATAATACAACCGTAGAAAATTTATCACAGACAGGAAATGAAAGTGTGAATTGTTCACAGTCTTGTCAACTTTTTCCAACGAAGAATTCTACCTGAAACGCGGAACTATAAACTTTGAGCAACAATAAGAAAATTTGACATAAATAAAAAAAATTTGAAGCACAGAAATTTGTTCTGTAAGTTTCGAAGTCAAAAATCAAAATTCCCTCCGCATTCACTCAAACATGGCCTCCGAAAGCAGTCCGACTGGCAGCGGAGTCAACGACCATGTGCACCAGCAAACCGGCTGATGAGCCTCAATTTCGAAGGCTGTTTCGAAGCATGTCGATGACGGAATTTGACTCCTTACATCATATGTCAGTACCAATTTACTGCCGAAATGAATGAACGAAGAGGAAATGATTATTACATTGGCGGTGGGTTCAGCCCTTCACTTTCCGAGCCATAGCAATGGGATCGCCTTACTGCACCACATGTTGCCAATAAATTGAAAATACATACTAAAAGGAATCATCAAATTTTGAAAGTATTTTCATCGCTTAGGAAGTAAGTGGTTTTCAATCAAAAGTTCCAGCCCACCTGATCCTTAAGTAATTTCTTTACATCAGCCAGATCCAGCTCCAGCTCTTCAATTCGTTCAATTTTTTCACCGTGTGCTTCCAACAAATTTTCATAACGCAATCTCAATGCCTAGAAATTTTCTAGAAGTAAAGGCTGAAAGATTCGCTCCAATCCAAACGATCTCTAAAAAAACTAGGAAGAATTAAAAAGTTATTCTGCCATTTAGACCCCATGATGCGAGGAGCATTACGAGAATTTTGCTTTCATTGCGAATAAACCCACATAAATTTAGTCTACGTCACAAGTCCTCCAGAAATGACGGCAAAAGAAGAGGTGAGAAGATAAGCTCAAATGTAAGCGCAAAATTTCCTGGAATTTTTTAAAAAAGTGATTCTTTGACAGTTTGAGGCTAAAACAGAAATACTGTGCGACACCAGTATCTCTTGCATAACTGTCTCTGCTTTTTCTGCTGTGAATAAAGGAAAAGGGACTGAGTGCCCATAAACGAAGGCGTAAGTAAGCGACTCCTTCTTCGGGAAGAAACTTTTTTTAGCTTCTTGCTTACTCACTAATCAACCTCGTGCACCCCCTGTCCCCCCCCCCCCCCCCCCCCCCCCCCCCCCCCCCCCCCC